TTAAAGCAAATTTTTTTTTAAAGAAATATTTTTATTTATCAATTATTTATCATATTGATACTAGTTCTTTGATTGTAAAAATTATAGTAACCAAGAAATAGATAACCAAGGCGATAATGCCGTAGTAACCAAGAATATCAAGTGTTTGTGTTGAAGAATAAACAAAGAGAACTTAAGTTACAAGCACTAGATCTACCAGACAGAAAAGCAAATACTTTTATTAGAAGTCCAACAGCTATTTTCGATAAATATAATTTATGGAAGAGTTTAAAGTTAAATTGTAGTGGACACTACCAATGTAAACATTTGAAGAAGGAGTTCGATTATCAGTCAGCTACAAAGATGTTTTATTAAAAAGAAGTCAGAAGAACCACAATTCATTGGTTTTCCACATTTTGTTTATAGGAAAAATTTCCAGAATAGTAATGAAGTGATAACTTAAATAACAGGATGACATGATGATATGAAATTTTTATTTTATTTAACTTGGGTATTCCTCTTTTTTGAAGAATCTGGAGTATTTCCTAAAGTGAAATTTCAAAAAACTACTTAAATTAAATGATGCAAGACGGAATTCCCGAGCAATACTAGCTCTTTTAACATTCTTCTATTAAAAAGAGAAGACTCACAACTCAACATATTAAGATTCATCTTCTACAGATGGGCAGACTATTGGTTTACTGTCCAAATGTACAATGAAGATGATATCGAAAGCTATCTAGCAGCTTGAAAAAGCATCAAACTCAGTATAAAAACTTTGGAATTAGGAACTATTGAGACTGGAAATTTTTAGAACAAATCAAGGTGCAGAATGAACATTTAAGTACCTTCAAGATCATATTGACATCTGCAGAAAAAAAGAGAACCTTCAGATTTATTTTGTCTAACAAAGCATAAGCATTGTATATTACACTTTAATTAAGCTGAATACTGCACAACATTTTTTTGATATATACAGTAACCCTTCATACTTGTAGAACTGTTATTTAAGTTTGTAATTTTTTATTTATTTGTAATTTAGAGTGTTATAAAGTAATAATAAATTGTTAACTCTTTTGTTAAAAAAATCAGAATTAAAAAATAACGATCATAAAACTATTTGAAATTTTATTCATATGCATATATGGTAAATTAGGATTTTTGGTTTGTGAGTGAGCTTTTTCAAAAATCGAATTAATGTTTTTTTATTATTTTTGTATAAATAATCATTGATTTATGACCCAGGAACATAGGGTCACAAAAGTCATATAATATATATATATTTTTTGATATTCACCTCCTCACCGCGGTACTATCAGGGATGTGGTGGGGATCGAACTCAGAACCTCTTGCTTATGAAGCGAGTGTTTTACCACTACACCACTACCGCATGTATTAGGGTGACAATTTTTTTGCAAAAAAAAAAAAAAATTAACACTGCATCTAATTTTTCTCGAAACCCCTGAGTGATATTAAAACTGTTTTGGTTTTGTTTTAAGAACTAGAATTAGTGCTAGATGTAGAAATCAGATGATTTCATAATTAAACATAATTTCAAAATTTTCTTTGTTTGTCGTCAATATTTTTTTACTTCTTCAAAATGTATCATTTGGAAAAGAAAAATTGTAATTTAAAATTTAGCTTTTCATTCAATGAATAGAATAACATTGCATTGCAAAACTGCAGTTTTGAACATTTTTAAACTGTTAAGAAAACTACTAATAAAAAACTGTGCAGATAAAAAAAAAATTCGTAGTAAACACAGTTTCAAGTAAGGTTGAAATGTATTAATATTATTTAATGTATTAATATTAATAATAATATTATTATTAATATTAATTATTAATTATTCAGTTTTAATTTTAAGGATTTAAATTTAATGAATTGTTTTTAAATTAAATATAAATAAAAAATAAACATTAAACATTATTTATGTTATAGCTAACATATAAACACAAAGATGCAATCAAGTATTGAAAAAAAGGCGAAACATGTAGACATCTAAATGTCCATTGTAGGAGGCCCCTTTATCTTCTTAAATCTTCTTTTTTTTTTTTTACCTCTGAATCAGCTTCCAACTAATGGGTTACTTCTAAGACATCAATATTTAATAGCAGTAGTAGATCAAAACGATTCAAAAATGTTTACAATAATTTTTCTTGTCCTATGCGATCAAATTTTAACATAAAATGCAAAGGAAAAACAACGTGTTATCAGGAAAATGGAGATTTGTGTCTTCTTAGAAAAATAGTGAACATCTGGGAGTCCTGTGTTTTTAAAAACTATATTGTTGGAGAGGATTAAGTATTATCAAAATTTGTAAAACTTCACAAAAAATGGGTATCAATGATCAAGAGAAAGTTGCTAGTTTGAAAAAATGACACCAAAGAAAAGTTAGTTGAAGATTTTCAAACATACATGGAGACTCTTTTTGACATTGGAAAACCCAATATTAATGAGTTTATACAACCCAGTCAATATATGCCAAGAAACAAAGAGAGTAAAGAGGAAGATTTACCATTTTTGGAAGATCAGAAAAATGCTAGAAAACCGTTTATAAGCGGGCATATAGATAAAGAAGTTGAAGAAAAGATTGTACGTAGACAAGAGAGATACCGTAGATATATAGATTATAAGAAAAAAATGTCAATAGAGGATGAACTGATGTTGTGAATGATGAAATGATAATAATGAAATTATTAATAAATTATAATGACATAATGACATTAATCATAATGACAAGAACAACTGTTACTCAGATTTAGAAGATTTCAATTAAAAAATTGATGATACTGACTGATGGAAATTATTCAAATGAGAAAAAAATGGTATCTGAATCAGGTAATTTTTATCATGAAAAATCTAAATTGTATATTTTACATGTGTATTGTTACTTTATTGAATAAACTGTGAGTGTACTTGAATTATAGCTAGTATTATACCTTGGAGTAAATATTAAAAAAATTAAGATAAATAGAAAAAAAGTCAGATTGAAGGGTTATGAGGTTGTTCAAAATCACGGAAATAAAATTAGACAGAATTACACAGAGGAAATGAAAGGAAAAAATCTTGTCCTTCACTTTGATGGGAAACTAGTTACACATTTGTATAAGGAAATCCAACAAACAGTTACAAGAGATAGAATTGATGTGTTTGTTACTAGTCCTGAATTTCAACACAAGGACGATCTTCTTTTAGGAATTGTTCTAAGTGACACAGGTAAAGCATCTTGATCAATTTATTAATTCAAAATTTGTTAGAATATTTTGAAGTTTCAGACCAAGTATTTGTTGTTTGCGTTGATACTACAGCAACCAACACTGGTAGGAAAGAGGGTGCAATTATAATATTGACAAGAGTATTTCAAAAACCTTTATTGTGGCTATTATGTCGACACTACATACATGAAATACATATTAAAAATATTTACAAATCAATAACTGGAGAAACACCAAGGGTCCACGAAAGGCCCTTTACTCCAACTTTAGGAAACAATGGGAAAATTTTGTCCCATTTTTTTCTAATTATGGTGTCTCTTCTAGTTTTAAAAACTTCGATGAGAGCACTCTAATAATGGATTCTGGAATTAATCAAATGTACTTGGAGGCAAAAATATATATTAAATTTGTTCTTGAATTTGAGATTTTCCCCCAAGATGGTTACAGACATTGTGGAATACTTAGCTTTCTATCTTAATATTCAGTCTGACAAGCTAAAGAACTTTAGGATTCATCAACCAGGTGCCTGTCATGAAGCTAAATTCAAGGCAGATGCATTATATCACATGGCTTTGGAATTGACATCGCCAGTTATAAAATACTTAAATCAAGATTAGCAGATTCTTGTCTCTAAAGTTTGTCTAATGATTGTTATATTTTATACTCCACGGTTTTTAAAATCCAGTCTTGCTGAACATTCAGTATTGGATGACTTTAATTCATTCAAAGAGCAAAAATCATAAAGGAGAAATGGGATATTGATGTAGGAACTTCACTTTTAAATAGTTTAAAATCTCACTCCTGGTATCTTTTGCCTGTAGCAGTAGTCATGGCTCTTGGTGATTCTGACCTTAAAATTCAAATAACGTCTGACATTTTGAAGGCCTTGGAACAAGAGGCTCCTGACATTAGTAAAATTAATAAAGAGAAACCACTTCCTGTTTTAGTAGATGAAAATACCAAACTTTGTGAAATGTTACCTGTAAAAGCTGGTTTCTTTTTGTCGTTTTGGACTTCTTTTTGTCGTTTTGGAAGCATCCCAGAAAAAAAGAGGTTAAGAGTCAATACCCTCGTACAAAAAGTTTGTCCTTTTTGTTAAACAACTCAGTGTCAAATGATTGTTCTGAAAGAAACATTGGACTTATACAAAAGTTTGTGAACTCTTCACACTCTGAGGATCAGAGTGTGAAGAGTTCACAACTTTTATATAAGTCCAATGTTTATATGTATATATATATATATATATATATATATATATATATATACATATATATGTATATATATATATATATATATATATATATATATATATATATATATATATATATATATATATATATATATGTATATATATATATATATACATATATATATATATGTATATATACATATATATATGTATATATACATATATATATATATGTATATATATATATATGTATATATATATATATATATATATATATATATATATATATATATATATATATATATATATATATGTATATATATATATATATATATATATATATATATATATATGCGGTAGTGGTGTAGTGGTAGAGCGCTCGCTTCATAAATGAGTGGTTCCGAGTTTGATCCCCACCACGTTCCTGGTAGTACCGCGCTCAACTCGTTTCTCCGCGCAGCGGCCTTGTTCATCAAGGTTCGTGTTTCGGACTTACTACATGACTATTTTAATAAAAACAAAAAATCTCTTCCTTCACTAAAAATAAAAGTATACTAAAATAAAGTTGAATAAAAATTAAAAAAGTTAAAATAAAAGAATAAGTTGCTAAATACTTTAATAAGCAATGCTTCTGTGATTTCTATGCAAGGATAAATTTGCAAAGGATATGTTAATAAAACACCAAAAAATAATAGTATTTGAAGAATAGTGGCCATTGATCCATTCAAGTTGGCTGTTGCAATTTGACAAGTTTTATCACCAAATGATATATACCCAATAATTCCAAAAGAAGCTAATATTACAGAAACACTGAAAAGTGAGCAGTGTAAAAACTTTGGGTAACGAACGCGATTATTTCCCATGCTTCCCTCTATTGGTATAACCTAAATAAAACAAGTGCTTTAATTGGATTATATTATTATTAGTATTATTATTTTCATTTTTGTTATTAATAATATTAACCTTGGTAGTATATGTAGAAAAGCAAAAGAGATGATAACAATAACAATTGGAAAGTCACTCAAGCTGAGGAAAAAGCTTGGGAGCTAGAACAGATCTAAATACATTTACAGTCTATTTTTTTTTTCTTTGTATAAGAGAGAAAAGATATCATTAGAAAAACAAGTTTAAATATGACAACATTTATCATATTTGTATTTCATACAAGAACATATAAAAGATTTATCTTATATAGGAGGTAGAAAATAGAATCAGGAGTATAAAAATGACAAACTTTGTTGTTTTTTAAACTCCTGTTCATATTTAAACTCCTGTTCATAAATATACCATATGAAGAGAGCTTATAAAGGAGAGCTTAAAAAGAAATAAGCATGGCAGACTTTAATAAAGGTTTTTGATTTGCCAAAAGATCTGTGTGACCATTGCTTTTACAGCTATCTGTTCAATTAACAAATCAGCAGTAGAAATAGAAAATTGAAATATTAATTGTCTATTGACTTAAGATATTAGAAGTTTGTAAGTTAAAGAATCTTAAAGAACTAATAATAGTAAGAAGACTGATTAGGCAACAGTTAGAAAGTTGTTATAGCAATCTCAAAAGTTTTTAAAGATTGGACCATATATGGAATTTTTCAGCAGATAGGAAATCAAGATTAAGTTGAGCATTTGTTAAATAGTTTAAAGACAAATAAAAAGAGAAAACATTTTTAGAAGACAGGAATGTTGTCTAAGCCACAGCTATAGAGGAATTTAAGTAAAACATAACTGTTTGATTTCAACAGAATGATTTAGATTTCTAGCAATGGGTTAACCATTTTCTTAAAAATTACAGGAATAGTGTGGTTATTATATTAGAGAGATGAATTAGATGAAAGATTCTTTGTAAATAGTTCTGCTTTATCCTTGAGAGAGATAATAACATCACCTACATAAAATCTCATTGTCTACACAAAGTAACATGCAAAGTATCTACTACAACACTTGTGTTAAACCGATTTAAAGTTAAAACATGTTGTATCTAACTGTAAGCGCACTAAATATAACAGCTCCAGTTTCAAAATAAAAAATAAATAAAATTGTACTACTAATAAAAATTTCAAGATGAGATAACAACTTAATTGTTGCATGATAAATTTCTAAGGATGGTTTCACATGGAATAGAATAACAAAAAGTTCATAAATTAAAAAAACCATTTCTTTTAAATGGTAAAACCTTCCTTAAAATCCCTCAAAAATAAGGAGTAAGTAATTAGTAATTTCTTATATTAAAGAAAAAAAAGCTATGATAGTTTAAATCATAATTTAAACACTAAACAATGAAAAGATTAGGCATAAACCTAGCAAAGTAAAAAGAATGGATTTTTGTGTAGAAACATATTTTTATATTTTTGAGGTAAAAATTATGACATCTCTTACTAACTAGTAGTAAGAGATGTCATAATAGTCTGAAGAAGTAGTGTGACAATATTCTGAAGAAGTACAAGATAAATGTTGTAGAGAGATCATAGTATAAGTCAGAGATAATACACAAATCAAGGAGTGAATAGGGTTGTCTAGAAAATAAGTAACTAAGTTTTATATCTGAGTAAGAGATTAAAGGCAATTTGATAGAATATAATAGAACTTTAAAAAAATTGCAGTCAAAAGAGGAAAGGTGGCTGAGTAAAGTAATGCTAAATGGACGCACAATAAAGAATGATTAGAGAATTAAATCATGAAATCACATTAAATTGGCAAAACAATATGTAAACATATGACTATGCCAAGCATGTAACTATTTGAGTCTTTGCAAGCCAAATGATAACTTAGTCTTGGGAGGTAACAACATTAAAAAAAAGCCATTAATTCTGAGATCTAAAAATAAAACAAGCTAATTCAAATTATTCTTACAAAGAGCAAGTAAGTAGTGAATTTTGCAAAAAGTAAGATTCAACTAATGAAAAGATACTTCAAATACCATAACTACTTATAAAAGATAGATCAAAACTAATAGATGGGGGTAAAAGATAGATCAAAACTAATAGATGGGAGTAAAAACTTGACTCAATCATAGATAACGCATAGCACCTTAAGAAATGAATTACACAGATGTCTTAGTCCTGCTTATTAATTCAAATTTAGGTGGCCTTGACAATAAACAACAAACGCAATAACAGGGATATCAAAACCTTACACAAGATTAAACTATTATTACTTCGATACCTTACAGCAGTTGCTGGAATCAGCTTCTCTTAGAGCTACCACAAAAATCAGGAAATCTTTCTTATTTAATAAATAGCCTCAGAACTGTTAAACATTTTTTTTTGAGCTCTACTCTTATTACATTATTGCATGTATCTTATTATAAAATTGCATAAAGAGTTGTATTACAATTAAGAGTTTGCTATTAAAAGTAAAAGCGAAGCAAAAATATCAAGTCAAGAAAAGTAGAGTCAAAAACAATGTAACAAAGGTTTACACCTGCCTAATAGATAAAGAAGGGGTTTGATGCTGGTCAAAAGAACATTTTTGTCTATCCTATGCCTTTGCCCATGAAACTTTCTACAATTTAGTAGCTGAATACTATTGACATTTGCTTAAGATGATTATTTTTAAAGAGATACCATCATTAGATTTACTCAACAAAGAAATGCACGGCAGTGGTTTTTTAAGTTAGTGTTAACTTCTCCTTGCTTTTATTTAGAAATGCTAAAAGACAGCAATAAATTAGGCAAGTTGTACTAGATTAAATGCTACAAGTAATCACGATGATTCTGAACCTGAATTGACTAGTTGTATATGTGATAATGATATTACTTTGAACTTTCAGAATCAGATAATAATTTTAATGAATTAGAAATTGGTGAACTATTAGTTGAAAGTATTATTTTATGAACAAGACCACTTAATTATTTATTTGCCAAATTACAAAAAAATAATAAAAGAAATTCAAAAAATTATTTTTTTGTGCAATTACTCACTAAAATTGTATTTTACAGTGATATATTATATAAGTGATATATTGTATTTTACAGTGATATATTATATAAGTGATATTTTGTATTTTACAGTGATATATTATACAAGTGATATATTGTAGTTTACAGTGATATTTTGTATTTTACAGTGATATATTATACAAGAATTTAAAAATAAAATTATTTTAATGTAAGATCAAACCAGACAGAATTCTAAGAGCATTAAGCAGAAAAGAAGCCAAATTCTAATTTTTAAAATTAATTTAAACAGGAAAAAAATATTTGTGAGTTATATAACTTTTACAATAAATTTACACATTTTAATTATTTAATTTGTTTTTTAATTTTTTACATTTTACTTTACTCAAATTTTAAAAAATAAACACAATTTACAATAATTGGAAGTAATTCAAGTTAATAATTACTCCCTCCGTTTGAAATACTCTTCCGATTTGCATTCAACATAAAGAATTATTGAAAATATTTGTTTGTTTTTTTTTATTATTAATATGAAACACGTATTCTTTTATATAATATTTATACAAAATATATTATTAAAATATATTTTATATATAGGAACAGAATTTTGGAACCGAGAGAGTATTATGGTACCTATTTTTTTCATTGTATATTTTTTTCATGTGTATTTATATAAGCTATAAGTAGTGAAGATTTTAAATAATATATTTAAATTTTCATTAATAAGTTATATAACTGAATGTTAAAAAAATAACTATGAAATCACTGAGTTTAATTATAATTATGAAATTCCTTTTTTTGTTTTTGTCCTGTTAAAAAAAAAAACTTATCCACAAAAAAAAAGTCAAAACTTAAAGCTAAACAAGTTCAGACTAGTTTAAAGAATCTTTTTATCAAAAAGGTTTAAGATAAATTAATAAAACTAATGTCAAACATAAAAATAAACAATCCAATCAGTCTCAAAAATCTAAATTAAAGATGCTATCACCATTAAAATGAAACAAGATATCTTTACAATTTAATTACATTATTTAAAATTTACTTGCAAGACTATTATCATATTTTCAATGTATAGGTTGATAGAAGAACACTCTGAAGAAAGCCTAAACTATATATTTATAGTATAAACCAGAGAAAACATAAACCAATGGTGTCACTATTGATATTTTTGCAAAACTTATCTTTATCAAATTGAAAAAAAAAACATGATTTCCTCATTTACTGCAAAAGGTGACATTAACATCAACAATGAACTAAAGAAACAAATAGAAAAAAAAATTACTTTGCTGTGCAGTTGCTTCTAACAGTAGCAACTGCATAGCAAAATTAATAGTGAAGACAATGTAGTATGTTTTATGTATTTGTACAGAATATGAACCAAACAAAAAATTAATAAATTAAAATTAATAAATTAAAATAAGTTTAAGAAAACAATGAAACAAGAACTTCAAATATGTATTTATTTTACAATGCTTGTCTAAAATCAATGTCAATGGAGAGCAAAAAAGGAAATATATATACACAAAAGTGCATAAAATCATTTAGTGTTTTCCTCAACAGTTTAAATTGAAACAAAAACTTATGACAATAGTAGCATAACAAAAATCATATATAAGTAAAAAGCTTACAGTTCCAATGCCTTCAAATGCCCCTGTTAATTGACCAAAAAAAATCGGAAACGTTGACAGTTTGAAATATTTAATATCTGAACTGATATGATTAAGTGCTAAAAAAAATATAAAATAAAAAAATATATATTTTTGAAACAATCAAATAAATACAACGAACTGTTTTATTTAAAAGTAAACAAACAAATAAAAAATCTTCAAAAAAAAAAACCATTTACAAAAACAAAGTTTTAATTGCACATTGGAAATTTTGATAATAAAGTCCAAAACATTATAACACAGTATATTTGATAAGTATTTTCAACATTTTAAGGCTTCCTTAAACCATTAAAATTGCTAAACAGTTTTTACTGTCATATTTTGGACAAAAAAAAATCATCCAATGGTTGTCCATTGGATGATTTTTTTTTGTCCTAATAAACTAAAAACCAAAAAAATGTTACTATTGCAATTAAAAATCGCAATAGTAACATTATTTTGGTTCTTAGTTTATTAGGATCAACTTGTCTTTTTATCACAATAAATTAAATCTAAAATTAAGTATTAATAAATATTTTGAAGTCCACAAAAAGTTAAAATTTGTCTTTGTTTAACACTACCTTTACTTAGTGTTACAATATGTGTTATTTGTAGGGGTGTGCAGATGCATCTGCATTGGCCAATGGTTACCAAGACCAATGCCGATTGTTTTAAAAAATCATTTTTTTAATTTTGTATTTTTGTATTGTATAAAAAAAATCATTCAAAAAATCCAAACAACCAACATCGGCCCATGATTACCTAAACCGATGCCAATACATTGGTACACCCCTAGTTATTTGTGTGACACCTGTTTTGTTTATTTTTTTATTTTTATCATATGAAACTTTTTATACACAATTTTTTTCAGTTTTTGAACTTTCTGCTATTGATCTGAGATTCATTTAAATAAAGCTGTAGAACACTGAAATAATTTATAATAATTTGAAATCATTAAGTCTTTTGCAAAAAAAAATTTCAATATTTATAATAAAAGGCTTACAATAAGGAATATAATAATAGGATGTGTCATTTTTTATGATTTTTTTTTTTAATTTTTTTACAAAAATGTGATATATAAAAAACTTGTGTACAACTTATTTAAAACTAAAACCAAAAAAAAAAAAAATTAAAAAAAATTATGTTAGCTACTGTTTTAAAATTGCATATTTATGGTAAATTTTTCATAATAAGCTTTGAGCCTAACCACAGATACTGTTTTTGCGTCCACATATTTTGAAACTCAAGTAATTATTTACACCCACTCATTTTGAGTTCTATGTGTGATATGTGATACCAAAACTATAAAAAGTTGTTTTTATCTTTTAAGATTTATAAATTGTCAAACTAATAGTTATCATGTTTTTTTTATGTTATAAAATATTATTTTAAAAAAAAACATTTGCATAAAAAATTTGCAAATTATGAAATTTGCTATGTGATCATGGCAGAGTCAATATCATCAAGTGCTAGATAAAGAAGCAGATCAAAGCTTTCAGAACATTTCGGAGTTAGCAATGCTAAGAGATCGTCTTAGTTATGGTCAGTTTTTACAAGGAAGAAACAATAAAAGTAAAGGAAATTATAAAATACTAGATATTATACAAAATAGATAATATATAAAATATTAAATAGATAATATATAATATATAAAATAGAAAGCATAAAAAAATAAAATAATGAACAATGTTTAATTAAAGTTGATTGGTAAAAAGATTCCAAAAAAAGAGTTTTTATACTTGGACAAAGAGTTAAAATAGAGACTACCGATACACATCAAATTGGATTAGCAGACTTACAGGAAAACAAAAAGCTACATAAAATTGGAAAAAGAAGATTGGAAGAAGTAAGATTTTTTGATTAGTTATGTTTTTGATTAGTTATTATAACTTTAACAAGCATATGGTATTAACATACAATGTGGTCAGGCAGAGCAATACATTGGCTCCATAAAATAAACCTCCTCTGCATCATCTGATGAAAACTCTTGATTGGAAAGACTCTGAGCAGGTTTACGGAAAACAATTGCAATTATGACGGCAGGTGAGATGGATACGGAATTAATTAAAGAAGACAATACCAAAACAGTTATTGATCAAGCAAGCTTAAAAAAATAATATGCATTCTCTTTTTATAGAGTTTGACACTCATTGCAGGACTAGCATTATTGATTGTGTTTTTTTTTTTTGTTTTTTTTTTTTTGATAGCAGAATTGATAACATAAAAGTTTAATTAATAGCTGAAGGTTTGAATAAATATTATTTTGCAACAATCAAAGAAGAACATTATACAGTATGCCAAGAGCCCAAATGATAAGGCAATATTGGAAAATTATTAAATGACATAACGTCTCTGAAAATTAATCCATCTTTTCAAAATATTGATGTCCGAAATCCTATTATTACTCTAAAAGATGAAGTAATCAAAAATTTATCCCTTAATCAGTTTTATAGGTATAAAAAAGTCTCTCTAATGTGAAGTGGATATATATACCCGCAGACTTGACTTTACTAGAAATTGGGCCAGTTAATCATTCCAGATGGTTGATAACTGCCAACAGACTTAGCAGACTTTGGGTCTCAAAACATAAGTTGGAAGGGTAGAATTTAAAAAACCTTAAATTAATAATTGAGTTTGTTGCGAGAGTTTACGTAACTATGTGGTTTAAAATTAAAGTCAAACACAGGTTTACTGAAGAACCAAGACACTTTCTTTACTAGCTTAGCCTTCTGAAACATCAATCAAGTTAAGTAGTTACATATGTTATGCAAACAGTTTCACGTTCAACATGGTATGCTTTCTCTAAGTCTGCTAACATTTGGAAAATCATCAACATTTTTATTAACGAAGGCAAGTCTAATATTTCATCTCTCATACATGTATCTGAGTTCACTACAAATTTCAAAGGTAAGGCAAAACTATTTTCAAAGAACTATTCCTCTAATTTAACATTTGAATCTAATGACCACACTCTTCATTTCATCCAAAAAAAACAGGTTAATCCATTGCCATACATATTAATCATTTTGAATTAAGTTATTTCTCACTAAAACTTTTTAACAGCTTTTTGTCCAAACAGCATCCTTGTTATTTTATATTATTATTTTTTATTATTTTTACTATTATCTTTTATTATTTTTATAAGCTCTGTATATCAGAAAGTTTTTAAAACTATTAAATCCTTTCTTTTAAACAACGGTTATAAATTATTTTTGAAAAACAGTTTTAAAAATTATTATATCTCTCTTTTCCAACTGCAGTAAAAATAAAATATGAGTGTAGTATAATTTGACATACTTATAAAAAATTTCATTTAATTTAATGTTAAGAGTTAATTTAATGAGAAAATATTTTAAGAGTTAATTTAATGAGAAAATATTATAAAAAAGTTTGATGCAACTGTACATTCACTAATGTACATTAAGTAATAAAAAAAATAAGTTTACTTAAAAAAGTAATACATTAACTGGTTTTTATGTAGATTAAGTTATAATCATAAGTTATAATCATTTTTAGGTAGATTAAGTAGTAGACTTAATCTACTACTTATTCTAGTTTTTTAATTTTATCATATTATTTATTTGATATATTTTTTTTTATTAATATTCGCTTCACTTTTTTTTAAGCACATAAAATTTAATAATGCCTAAGCCTATTCTTACTAGTGATGTGACAACAGTAGAAGTAAAACAGATTATATTTCAACCTATATATGCTCCGAATTGGCCTTTTCATAGGCAGTCTTGTGCAATTGAAAGATGAATTAAACAGGTAACAGAAGTAGCAAGTAAAGTTTATTCTCATGAAAAAAAGGATAGTTTTCTAAGAAGGAACAATTTATCAAGACAGTTGGTGTCTACTAATCGGCCAAAGTAAGGTTTGATCTTAATGAAAAAATTTTTTAAAATATAAATTTTGTTTTGTTAAAAAAATTACAATAAAAAGAATTCTTATTTTATTAAATAGATAATTAAATAAAATATAAATGATTGTAGAAACTATTATAAAAGTTTTAATAATAATAAATAAGTTTAAAAAAGTATAAGCTGTCAAAAATATACAACCATAAGCAAAAATCTGCTATTCTTGTAAGAAATTTTCCACGAATATTAATGAAATAAATCCAAAATTATGATTCCTGGATGCTTAATCATTTGGGATTTTTTAATTTAGGCTTTTTTTTAGTAATATTATATAAAAACACAAGTTTTTAGAATACAGGGATTTCAATCCGGAAAGAAAAAATAGTATAACACAACCTAATGCAATAACCATAAAAGTTGAATGAAGTAATCAAGCAAATAAAAAATAAGTAAACAAAATTATTCCAATAAAAGTAAATAATGAATAACTTTAATAACTTTAATAACTTACTTAGTAGCAAATTTAACAGAAGTTAAAATAAAACTTTTGAATTCTTAAAATAGTTTAACTTATTAAAAACCATAATTTAAAAATAATACAAAACTTTAAATTTTTTTATTTGAAAATTCACTTGCTAAAAAATAAAAATAACTTACAAGCCAACAAATAACTTGCAGTTGCAACAAAAGCAATGATTAGTGACAAATTAGCCAGCAAACTGATTGGTTCCAGCTTTCTCAGACTTCGGATGAATGAAACTAATATTAAAAAAACTACAGGAATAACTAGTAAGATTGCAAACGAAGCTTTCGAGTCAGTGGTTAAATCTAATAAACCAAACCTTTTTTTATAAAAATGCATAGGCTGAAAAACAAAATTAGCTTTTTCCTTGTTTGAATCACTTAGGAATAGTGAAAAATTTCTTGGGTCAGCCAATGTTTTGTTAAGAGAATTATTTGTTGATATGTAGCGTTTTAATATGGAACGTAAAGTGTTACCCAAGAAAATAAAATATCCAATTGAAAACCCAAACTGTGTAGTTAAAACAGAAATATTGACCGCTAAAACTCCAGGCACACCAAGACAAGATTTAGCAATACTCCCATAAGAAATTGTATCATTAAGAATTTTTTCTTCTTCTTGAAAAGACAATCGAGAAGACGATGGATTTAGTTCTTTAATCTTCTTTTTAATAACAATTTGTTTGCATTGAACAATTAAATTGCAGCAATGATCAGTAGCTACAGCAATCACAAAAATACCAATAAGTGAGAGCTAAATATAAAATATATGAGAATGCAAAATAGAAACAGTAAGTTATATAACATATTATATAATGTAAGAATGTATAAGTTATACATGTTATAAACTATTATTAAAGTGGTAGACTACTAAAAATATATTTTTCGTATTTAACATTATTTAGATTGATATTTTTACTTCAAACATAATAAAGGCATAAAAAAAAAGTTTAAATTTTTTAAATAATTTTTGAGTAAAAACAGGTTATTTTAAAAAAAATATGCTAAAAAAAAAAGATCTTGGCAAAAATATCTCAAAAAGTAAAATAATTTTTTTTCTAATTTTTTACAGTTATTTTTCTTTTATGTAGATTAATGTCCTGAGATTAAGAAAAAAAAAACTTTAAGATTTTTCAACACGCCTGAATTAAGGTCTTATTTCTGACATAATGGACCGAAAATTCAGTTTTTTAAAAATTTACACTCTAAATTTTTTATCTCAGGACATTAAGCTCATTATAATGAACATTCGTACACAATTTCAAGTTAATTGGACAAACACGACTCGTGCAATCTTTGCCACAAAATGCAAAATTATAAAAAAGAGAAAAATGGAAATAAAACTTTAAATATAGACAAACAAGTTGATATGAAAAACCTTTCTCCTGCGAAAAATTGTTATTTAATTTTAATAATGATTGGCACTTTAGACATAAACAAACAAGATTTTAAATTGAGCTTAAAACATCAGAATTAAATATAATGTAACATTCTGGATTTTGCATAACTTTATCTTGAAGAATATTTGAAGCATCGCTAGTGGGCAGATTTAACTTTTTAGCAGAAGCTGATGGTTTTTTTGACAATACATTTGTTGGAGGTGGAATATTATTTGAAATTGAAGAAGACAAGTGTTTATAGTATTTTTAAGTAATCTGTAACATTTACGTTTTTAGCATCTAGATTTATTTCTTCGATCTGCAGAACCCATTTTGATAGCAATTACTTTACATTTTTGTTACTAAACCTATTCAACAACTTTGTTCGTTCAGACTATGTCATTTACAATATAGAAAAACTAATAACAAAGAAGCAGCTACTGGTTTGAGTGTTTAGAATTTGTAAGATATGGTAAACAATCCATTTTTTCTAACCTAAATTAGCTGTTGCTATGAGCGTTGCTAGGGGAAGAAAAACTACCCTGCTAAAATAAATATGTTTTTTTTAGGTCTAAAAAATTTTTCACATATGAAGATCTACAATAAATACTGTTTAAAATGTTGCAACTTTTGACAAATCAATTTTTCTAATTTTTTTAGTAGTCTACTACCTTAACTAATTTGAAAGTTTAAAACAAAAAGATAAAACATCAATTACAATTTTATTATGTCAATACAGCATGCTAATTTTTTCCACCTAATTTTTAGGTCTTAAATATTAAATTATAATTTAGTGTAGTATTAATTATAATTAAGTGTCAAAATCCAACATCAAAGTTAATAATCCAATTTCAAAGATATCAATCCAACATCAAAGTTATTAATCCAACATCAAATTTATCAATCCAACATCAAAGTCATCAATTTATAATAACAATTTTGTTCTTGCCTAACTTTAAAAACATTAACAACAAAAAAATGTAATTTTGTTCTAGACTAAAACACTTTGGTCTCAAAATTGTCTTAAATTTAGATTAAACTTATTATTAGTCTAGTCTGTAATGTGTTTTAGTCTAGAATTTAAAACTGAAAAAAAAATTAAAATTGCGTAGAAGTAATAAAATTGAAAAAAATCTTCAAGACTCATGTTTTGGAGTTTAAAGTATAATAAATGATTGTAACAACAATTATAATACTAAATTTTTTTTGTAATAACTCAGTAGTGGTGTAGTGGTAGAGTGCATGCTTCATAAGCAAATTCTAAGGTAGATTCTCAACTAGTCAAGGTTGGTGTTTTGGAGTTAAAAAATTGAGAACAAGTTGTAACCACAAAAAAGTAGCCTCTTCAAAAAATATTAAGAATATTGACAGACTCAATAGATATTTTTCATAGACATATTACAGTTTTTATTGGCTCATTGCATTGAAATAAAATATTTATGAATTCTATAAATTATTGTTTTACATTCAATAAGCATTTATTGAAATATTTATTTAATTCCACACAGTTTTTTTCATAATTCCCATCTTATGCACTGTCTATATTTTTTATTGTCATAGTAATGTAGGGACAGACATTAGATTAATTTATTTAATTTTATTCTTGTACTTTAATGATTTAGAACTCTCTTCCATCTTCATGTTTTTCTAACTCAGACAATCTACAATGTTTTAAGCCTTCTCTTAACTGTTTCCTTGCTCTTTAAAAATATTCTTTGTTTTATAATAATTCCCAACTTAATAGTGATTGCTTGCTGCCTTGTTGAAAGCATTTTAGTTTAAAAAAAATAACAGATAAATATTATAATATAATCTTACTAAAAATATAAAATATAACAAATATATTAAAATGTATTAAATAATTGTACAATATATGAAGATATGTTTAACATAAAAAATCAATAAAATCTAATATAAAAATTATTTAATATATAATCAGTATAATGATAAAAAAATATAATCTTAAATAACTAAACTTTGAATAATATAAATATGAGTGGAAACAGGACATTTTCCTGCATAAAAAGGTAATTTTATTTACTTTGGCTCTTGGGAACAACTAAAGACACTTTTCAGAAAGTTGTAAAGAACTTTAAACAGTTTATTTTTTAAATATGCATTTTTTACTGTATTCGCCTTTCCGCGACCAATTAGCTACTACAGTTACTTTTGGTCTCAGGACCTTTTTTTTAAAAAATGTTATAAGAAAGCTTTCACAACCCTATAATTACATAACAACCAGGTAATCAGGTTGAAAATGTTATAAGAAATCTTTCACAACCCTACAATTACGTAACAATCAGGTAATCAGGTTGATTTGTGGAAAAACATGTTTAGCTTATCAATTCATGTGGACTTTACACAACTCATGTAGATTATATACAACTCCTATTAATTAGTTAAGTTGAAAATAAAAACACTTTATTTTTTTATAAAGTCTATTTTATGGCTATGCTTCGTAAAGTTAGTAACTCTTAGCTACTTCCATACTAATCTTACTGTTTTCACCAACCCTACTTTCCAACAAATTTGTTAATTAGCAAATTTAATAATAATATTAATTTTCTAAATAATAAATTTTTTTAAATGCCCTAAGAAGTCCTTTAAGTCTTATCCCAGAACACCACGGAAGAGCATTTAGTAGGAAGTTCTTGCCTCCTTCCCAACCAATTTTGCAAAACTTGCCCAGAGGTGGGGCTTAAAACATGGATCTTATTATAATTTCCTAATATTATAATTTCCAAAATATTATTAATATTAAATAGTTTAGTAATAACATTTATTTCCTAGCGTAACTTTACTTAGAAAAAGAAAAATACTAAAGCAAAAAAAAGAAATATCAAATAAAAAAAAAAGAAATAACTTACAGCTATTCCAGCTTGATTAACAGCAAATGGCATACCAATCATAGCTGAACCAATAAATGCTTTAAAAACATTTGAACAATCCCTGCAATTTTGGTGACACCTAAATTAGTAAGACAAGTCTACAAAATTTATTTTCCCAATGTCATTACATAATACTACAACATTGAAAAAATATTAAAAATATTAACATTTTATGAAAAGAAATGACTGTATGGTCATTTAATAAAAGATTTAATTGTAATTTATATAATATATATCTAATATATATATATATATATATATATATATATATATATATATATATATATATATATATATATATATATATATATATATATATATCTAGAAACCAATGGTAAGCAAGACAGGAAACATAGTTAAAGACCCAAAATTAAAACAGTAGCTAAAAATCAATTAAAAAAAGTAATATCAAAGTAAAATCGCTGTTTAACAGTTCAACAAACACCCACCCCCACCCCAAATTGCAATAAATTTTTTTACATAATTTATTAAAGCTGAAAAAGCTGTAAAATCCAACTCAATAACATATTCAGCCATTAAAGATAAACTTTTTAAAAAAATTTGGTTTTCAAAATCCTGTAAATTAGCTGTCAGCTAATTTACAGGATTTTGAAAATGTGTGTGAAAAAGCATGGAAACATTATAAACGCCTGAAAGAAAAACATTTCAAGAAAAATGGGTATGTATCTATACTTTCACAAGCATCAAAAGATATTATTTAGAGAAGGCTTACATAATAAAACCAAAACAAAGAAAATAATTTACAGGACTGGGTGATAAGTTAAAAAAAGAAAAGAAACAGGAACTTGTTAAATATATTAACAACTTTATCACTTATAAATATCTAGAGTTGTATGTTAACCAGTTATTGGGTTACCTCTTATATAGAGTTAATACACAAAATAATCGCTCGTGTTGGCAATGCACTTTTCAAAACAGTTTTTGTTTTTTTTAATTTATTTTATTTATTCTTTTTTGTAGTTATTTAGGTGCTCCCAGAAGTCCTAACGATCTTATCACAGAGCACCATGCGAGAACGTTTAACTTGAAGTTCACGCTTCTTTTCATACCAATGTTGCTTGTTGGGTTGGAGCAGGCATCAAACCTTCAACCCCTAGGTTCTGAGCCAGAACTATAACCACTGCAATATGGCTGCTCAATATTTTATTAATGAAGAGTAACTTTCATATCTTTTTATATTCATTATTAATTTAGTTAGAATCTAATGTAGCTTGGACCTTTTTTTCTTTCAAGCCTTTTTTTTTCATTCCAATCCTTCTTTTTTTTGTGGCAACTCATAAACCTATTTTTTTTTTAATTTTTATACTATTCATAAATGAATAGGCTGTTTTTAACAAAAAAATTTGCATGGTATTTGTTTACAAAAGAATAATCTAAAATTATACAATTTATATTAATTAAAGTAATACAAAATTCAAAAATACAAAAACAAATTTGCTGACAAAAAAATTTTGATTGCTGTTGAATTAATTTAATTTTTTTTTTTTTAACCTTTTTTAGTTTACAAAGTTAGTCGTGATACATAGTAACATAAAAGATTTTTAAAATATATTCAGCTCTAACTACTCTAAAAATTTTTACTAACAATATAAAAGTAGATTTCCAAAAGAAGATCATAGAGATTTTATTATCAGAACCTTAAAAAGTAAATGTATTTATTTATAATATATAGATATATTGAAGATTTAACAAACACATTTATCATACGTTTTTAGTAGAATTTTAGAATTTTATCTATAGAGAGAATTTTTTAAATTTAGTTTTAAAAACAGGAAGAGTAAAAAAAAGATCAAAATTTGGTAACACTATTTTTTTTCAAAGATGGGGTGATTGATTTTGAAATTAAAATAATTAGAAAACAATAACAAAAAATTAAACAACAAACAATGAAACAACAAACGAAAATATCAAAAGGCTGACAAAGAATTTCAAGTTAGTGTTACTTCCCAGCAAACACTCTATTGTGAATTTTCAGTGGACCTATATAGGTACTTTGAGCGGACCACTGTAGTTTTGCTCATCGATTACTTAGTGGACCATTAGTGGTAGTTGCCAAAAGTGACTAGCCCATATTTAACCACTATTAACATGTTGTAAAGTTATTGGCTTGCCATTTATAGCAACTGCCATAATGGACCACTAAGTAACCGATGAGCAAAGCTCCAATAAGTCACTAAAAAATGCCTAAATAGGTCCACTGCAAATCCACTTAAACAATGTCTGCTGGGTTGTCTTTTTTGGGTTGTTTTTATTATTATAAGTATTTTAAAATTTAAAAATTGTTGAAAGATTCTGTCAGCATGCAATCTATTAACAATTGGTAAAAAAATATATTGAAATAAATTTCAAAATAAACTTCAACAACAAGTAACTTGGAAGGCACAGACATCGTGAAAATGTATATAGTTTTAAATAGCACTTTAATATTGCATTTAGCTTTAAATGCAATATTAAAGTGCTATTTAAAACTATATACATTTTCACAATGCCTGTACCTTCCAATTTTTTTTTGCTTGTTAAAACAAGAAGTCTTCAAACTATTTATCTATTTAGTAATGTATAATTAATGATCGGTTTTTTTAAAGAAAAAAAAAGATTTTCGGTTTCGAGAAAACTGAACAAAAAACTGGTTAACCAGTTGCAGTTTCCAGCGGATGCCAAGCCTTAATTATCATTTATTACTGACCTTTTATGAAAACCACGGACACCATAAAAAAATATACAATCCATCGCAAAGTTAGCATCTGCTAAGGTTTTTTTTTCATCATGCTTACCATTTCCTAATCCTGGAATCCATTCTCTACAAACCTCTTATTAGTTATACTAACTCAAAAACAGCTCACTCCTAATAATTATTGCAATATTGATACTACCATATTAATGAATGGCAACACTATTAATAAGTCCTCTACTTCATGTCTTCTTGGATTACCATTCACTCCTTACCTCTTATGAAAACCATATATATAATCCATTGCAAATGCAAAAGTTACCTCTCTTAATTGTGATTGCTTTTTTCTTACTCCTGATTCTATTCTCTACCTCTATAAACTTCTTATTCATCCTAGTATAGAACATTGTTGTCATACTTAAACTGGTATTTCTAATGAGGCCCTCTCTATTTTAGAATGTGTTAACATTAGGGTAGCAATCGGACAAAAAATGGGGTGTTGATCCGCCCAGGGCATCACTTTTTTATGGGTGCTAAAAGAAAACTTTTTTTTTTCTTTTTTCTAGTTTGAAAATTTCCTAACAGCACTACCTCTTTTCTTTATTTGCTTGCATTTTCTATAAAAGAGCGGCAAAAACCATTTTCCAACCCCTGCGATTACTGTGTATACAGCCTAAATTTTTATGACGAATCAAACTTTTTAATTATGTAATTTTGTAAACCATAAATAATGATTTGTATTTACAATATGAAAATATTGTATAGTATTTTATTTATGTTGCGTAGTTATAACTACGATTATTCATGCAAGGTATAGCTTGCATAAAACACAGCAATTAGGTAATGACATTCATCACTAAATTAAAACTTCCTATTTATGAATTCTAGCAATAGTTTATATTGAATTAAAACCCTCAAAAATTAACATTAAAAGCCATATATACCAATTAACAGTAATTCATAAACGAGTGGTTCCGAGTTCGATCCCCACCATGTCCCTGGTAGTACCGCGCTCAACTCGTTTCTCCGCGCAGCGGCCTTGCTTGTCAAGGTTCGTGTTTCGGAGTTATAGAGTTGAGAGAGGGTTATAACCACAAATAAGTAGCCTCCTCGTCTGTAGTGGCCTTCTCAGCCTTGAGGAGGTGAATTAAAATTAAAAAATAAAAAAAAAAAATTAACAATAAAAGCTGCTTAACCACATAATCGTCACCAAATGGCTTAAAACTTTTTACAATAAAATTATTGAACTCAAATAAGAACAAACATTAAACAAAAAACACGTTAAAAAAAACCTTTTAGTAAAAGTATATTACTTTGTTTCTGGTCATTTTTCTGTTCAATATGGTTCTCTAGAAGTTTTCAAAATAACAATGTTAACAATGTTAATTCAGCACAAGCATTAATTACAGTGTTTAAAATGTTAGAGAATATTAACGACATTGACGAACATTCAGAGTTAGTTTTAACAAATACATTTAGGCAGTTCAGCAACCTAAAACAATCAATGTTTATTGCAAAACGTAGATTGACAAAGAAGCTCTAGTAAAGCTAGGAAAAATGGAGGTAATTACAAACTTAAAATATATATGTAAATTAAACAAAAAATGACATAATTATTATAGTATATTTTTTATTTAGTGCAGATATTACTGCTTTTATAAACAAAACTTAATTTTGACGAAAATCATTATTACTTTTGTGATTATAAATCATAAAGTTTGATATTACTAATAATAATAATTAAAATTTTTAGTGTTACAATTTCATATATAGGTTTTGCTATCATTTAATGAAGAAATGATAAAACAAGAAGATGACTACAATTCAGAAGAAGATACGCAAAGAAATGGAATAGTATTTCTCGAAAAAAATGAAATAGTATTTCTCGAAAGTCAAAAATTCGAAGAACAGAAGAACTCTGGAAAAATGTAAACAAACTTGCTGAAATCGAGAATATTGATCTGAAAGAGGTTTTCAATTTCCTATTATCTAGATGTTCATCCTCTAGCTGTGTCAAAACTACTCAAATAACAACTGTGACAGCTGTTTCAATCTGCTGATATTCACTGCTGGGTCGATCAGCATATAGAAAACTGAGGAAAATGCTAAGAGCTAATAATATCGATGTTTACTCAAGCTGGAAAGAGGTTCAAGACTTCAAAAATTCTATTACTCCTCTGAAAACCGTTCTCCTACCTGAACCATATATTGGAGTTTACTCTAACTTTACAGAGTCTGTCAAAATCACAGTAGCCTAAATTCTTAAGCTTGAAAATGTCCATATAAAAAATGAACAAACAAATTTAGTTCTTGAAATTAAATTTGGATATGATGGCAGTGGAGGACATAAAATGTATAATCAGCTACACAATGTAAATACCAATAAT